CCTCGTTTTCGTCAAAAGGGGGGGGGCTATTGACATTCAACCGACATCTGGAGTAAAAACACTTCAGCTCTCTTCTGATTTGCCCGTTTCTCGCTTTCTGCTTTACTTGCCGGTTGCTCAAGGAACATAAAGATGCTCTGGCCGCCAATGTACATACTCTACGCGCGCCACAAGCATAAATAATTCCATTTTTCCGTCCTTCGTGGATCGTCTGTGCGAGATACTCTCACCCCCGCACATATTTGAAGTACCCCGCCTTTCCCACTGGCATACACGCACCAGAATTCCAAATCCATCGCCAGCTGTAAAGCAGACAGGCATGCTTCTTGGACGAAGTACGTGCCACCGAATAAAATGCCGGACAACACATGCTTTAATACCGGACAAAACATGCTTGCGTTCGCCTACTGCAACATCAAAGTACCGCGTGTGCCATAACTTCGGCCGAAAACATGCCTCCCTATCTGGGAAATGCTACCACCCCCACGTCATACGTGCATGCCCTATCAACAAATGCCAGCAGGAATTGTCGCAAAACACAAAACAATGGCCGTTTACACTAATATCAATTTCTACATCATACACTGCATTCCAATTTAAAGGCACTCGAAGATACAAGAACATGGACGGAATGCGTATGCAATCATACATAAAGCCGTATACTCCCGGCCTCACCTTCCCGGGAGTCATGCTATATAACGAAGCAACAAATTCGAACTGCCAGAAAGAACAAAAAAACAGCATCACAGCACCCCACACCTCACACGACAAAACTAGAGACAGAACAAGGCGCCAGATCGGCAGTAGAGGGGTCCGGGCGGTCACTACACGCTGAAAGCACCCTGCCCCCTGCCCCCGCCTTTTGTCTGTAGCAAAATCTCCCACCTGCAAAATCCGGCCCATCATTACAATGATCATGGGCGTTCTGACGACGTCGACGACGAGGAGGACGTCGCCAACAAGGAAAACAGAGAAATACATAAATTATTGGAATTAACAACCGCCTCCTTCCTCTTTTTCCACGCCCCGCACTTCGCTTGTCACACCAAGGATCATCAAAACAACGCTTGTCACTCCAAAAAACTTCGCACGCAAGGGCCTTCTCGCCCACGGGAGGCACCGGCTGATGGGGACTTCATTACGCATCACTCAACAGTCAGTCGAGGAACCACCTGCCTGCAAGAGCAGATGGCTACACGTTTGTACACGAGTCAGCCCCATCCACCCCCCCAGTTAACTCAGTGCAGGAAACCCAGGTAGATGTCTATCGGGTTGTTCGTGGCTGCCGCACCCATCACCGAGGCGTCGATGAGGCTCATGACGGCAGGCGCAAAGGTCAGGAACTGCATGGACGACATCATCTTGGCGTCGATCAGGCGGCGCTGGTAGAGCGTAGGCGCCAGGAACGCGATCGAGGTCGAGGTCTGACGAAAAAAAATATGAGGATAGGAAAGAGGGGGGGGGTCACAGTGCGCAATCCGATAGGTAATAGCGGTAGCGACAACAGCAGCGATAGCGAGTATCACTAAGGCTCCACGACCAACACCTCCGGAAACAAACCACACACGACGACAGGAAAGAACGGCGCAGCGACGACAGCGACAATTACGGAGGGCTCGACGAGTACTGCTTCCCCCGAAAACAAACAACACGCCAAAAAAAAGGGGGGGCGGGGGGGGAGAGTGCTCTTACCGCGAGGGCGACGTAGGCGTGAAAAAGCAGGGCGGGACTATCGGGGAACGCCTCCCCGAGACGCTCAACCCAGCCGCTTCCCACGAGGGTAGCGTAGAGGTGGGGGGCGTTGAAGATCAGGGACCCGTAAGAACCCGCACGGTTCATGGCATCGCCCTCCACGTGGTCGTCTCCGCGGATGTGGATCTTGCCCGTGCGGCGGCGGCCCTTCTGCGCCAGCATTTCCCTTTGGCTGCGCACGCACACGCGCATGGGTCATTTTTTGTAGAACGCTTGTGAGGAGGAGGGGTGTGTGTGTGTGTGCTCAAAGTCGTGCATGCCGTAGTCGTTAGACCATTGACCTCGCATCCCCACAAAGCCGGGACGGAGCACGCCGGGTTTTCATCGGACCAGACTCTCACATCACCAAGCGCGAAGCGCCGTGAGATATTCGGCGAGTCGCATGAAGGGTGCGCTGCATCCTGCTAAGGGTGTTCGGCATCTTGTGCTTACTTTCTTGCGTACGGATGACAGCTGCGTATGACTTAATTTATGTTCTGGTGTTTTCACTTCCTGAGACAGTTGTAAGCACTGTGTAACTGCCTCGAGGGTGCTTGACCAGTTTAACACAACGTGGTGCGATCACCCCCGAGCGCGGAGTGAGGGTTCTCGACGCCGCACAATATGATCTACTCGACCACCATTGTGGTTACCGCCAAAAACAAAACAGAGGTAAAAAACAAACGGTAACCTGGTTGCCGAGTTCACGAAGTGAATTGGCTTGTTTCACAAAGTCGTTGCCAAGCGACGAAACCCAATCCCGATGGCAAACACCGGGGGAGGGCGGCTTGTTTTACAACGTCGTTGCCAAGCGACGAAAACCCAACCCCGATGGCAACCACCGGGAGGGGCGGCTTGTTTTACGTTGCCAAGCGACGAAAACCCAACCCCGATGGTAAACACCAGATGGGAGGAGGGGGGGGGTAGTAATGTAAACGCATGCCGTACAAGCAGTTATTAGGTCATAGATCTCGCGTCCCTACAATGCCGGGTCGGAGCTCGATACGCCAGGTTTTCGCCGGCCCAGGCTATATCTACGTTTCACAAGGACGAGCCAGGGGGGGGGGG